TTGTAGTTAAATTAGTTTAGCTTACATTCTTGTTATAACATTTTTCATGTTTTCTCTGAATAAATGATGGGCAAGATCGCCAAAGTTTAAAAAAAAAAAAAAAAGTAAATTGTTATTTGGCATAATGTTAGCTAAATGAACTGTCGATGAAATAATTGTCAGTGAAATAATATGAATCCTTTTATTCATATGTACATAGTACTTATTTTATAATAGTATTTAATAAAAAGCACCAGCTAATCAGAGGTGCGTCAGGTTGATTGACGATCCAAATCAATATATTCTGTCACATATTTCGGACGTGTCTATATATCAATATTAACTAATTAAATTATAATATAGTTTTTTATTTATTTTTTTTAAATTTTTTATAAGACCATATAAAATTAATAAATTGATTTTCATAACTCGGCCGGATCAAAGTTTGAAAACTTTCAAAAAATTTTTTTTTCATATGTTTTAATAACCGGGTAGGTTTTTGTATAGTATTTTATAAAATTTTTACATATAAAATTTAAAAAAAAAAGCGGGTCTGATTTAAAATTTCATGTTATAAAAACCAAGTAATTAAATTTGTATAGCCTAACTAATAAAATTACTAATTTGTATATTTTTTATGCTATTTTTCTCATTCTTATAAATTATTTTATATTATGTTAAACAAAAAATCAATTTGAAATAATCTTATTAATAAAAAAAATTTTTTAAATTTTTAATCGTAATATATTTTAAAAACATAATTTATCATTTTTAATACTTAGAAACTTTAAAAACCGATTTGCTTCAAACTATTTGAGCAATTATTTATTTTGAATATGATTTTTTAATTATTTGCTACTAAAAAACTTGTTATTAATATCTTTTTAAATTATTGCGAAAAATTGTTCTAGCTCTTTTTTAGCATACTGTAAAACATCTCAATAAATTCATTAATAACATATAATTGTGTTATACGGAGATCTTGCGATTTGATTGGTATACAATTCACGTGATAGTAGATTTTTCGTGGCGATCCTTAATATGACGCGAGAGTAAACACGAGTTTAATGTTTTGATACCTTTTTTGATCAGCGTGACTTGTCAATAACGCGCAAGCTTTTGTAATCAAAATAACATCAAAAAGTATCGATTACATTAACGCGACAACTTGAATTATTATATAAAGACTGTTTCAAACCTTTACTTATTTACTTTTAATCACTATTCACTTTATTCATCAGAATTTCTATTACACGATTCTATTGAAAATCATTGCTGTTTTCATATCTAAACAAAATACGCATAACCGTTTTAATTTATATTAAACATAATTAAAAATGGCCAAAGAAAAGAGCTCAAAGAAATCAACTGGTGGTAAAAATATAATTATTTTATATAATCGTGATTTGATTTTATAAATTTTTTTCGCTCATGATATCAAAAAATATTATTAGCCAAGAAACTTTCTCCTTACAATAAGTATATGAAAACTGAACTTCCCAAAATCAAAGCTGAAGATAATACTCTAAATCATAAAGAAGCTTTCAAAAAGGCCGCTCAACGTTGGAAAGACTCGTAAGTTTTATTTGTATATATGTATGAAGTTTCGTTTATTACGTTACATTTATTACGTTACATTTTTTTAAAATTTTGTCTCTGAAAATAGACCCGAAAATCCCAAAAATCAAACAAAATAGATTTTAAAAGTTACCTCCATCTACGACTACTTTGTGATGCAATATTTCCTTTTTACACATTTTTTTTTTATATAGAAAAGTGGTTCATTACTAAGTTACATATAATTTTACGTAATTGTACATGTTCATATCATAGAAGTAAATAGAAACATATACAATAAAAACTATAAAATTTAAGAAAATTATTGTTATGTGATAAATTTTAGTATATCGATTATGAATATTATATTTTTTTATCTGTTATTTACGTTTAGTTTTTCGCTATGAATAATAACGACATATCCAAGATATCAGTTTAGTTTGTCCAGTATACCCCACATTACGTAATCGTATATATCTGATATCATATTCCTGTATTCTGATTGTATAACTGATAACACGCATGACTTTTTTTTGAGTAAAATTAACACGTACCGGTACTCTGCGCATAGATCTATTACGCAGAATTAGTTACAATGTCAAATCCACAGCAATTTCAATGTCGCATGTACGAAGCGAAATATCCCGAAGTTGACGATCTTGTCATGGTCAACGTTCGGCAGATCGCTGAAATGGGTGCCTATGTTAAACTGGTAAATTTAAATAATGTTTTATACTTTCATTATAAATAATTTTCCTAATTGTAAAAAAAAACCGTTTTGTATAGTTGGAATACGATAATATTGAGGGTATGATCCTTTTGTCTGAACTATCAAGAAGACGTATTCGTAGTATACAAAAGTTAATTAGGGTTGGAAGGAACGAAGTGGTAGTAGTATTAAGGGTGGACAAAGAGAAAGGTAATGTCTATTGTTATTATATTTATTATATTTAATGATATATTTTCTTGTACAAATTTAATGACACTTTGCCTTTTACTATCACCCTTTTTATAAGGTTACATTGACTTATCCAAGCGTCGGGTTTCAGCCGAAGACGTCGCGAAAGCCGAAGAGAAATTTAATAAATCTAAAGCAGTTTAGTTTCTATATTTTCTTTTTTTTTCACCGGGCGATCTTTTATAAAGATAATATATTTAATTTTTTTTTTTTTTTTTTGTTAGGTTCATAGCATAATGCGTCATGTTGCCGAAAAGCAAGACCTTGTCCTCGAGGATCTGTACAAACAAATTGGTTGGCCACTATACAAAAAATATGGTCATGCATATGAAGCATTTAAATTAGCGATCACGTAAGCTTAATTAATATCTTATTTACTTTTGTCTTTTATCAATTTATTTTTATTAATTTTTTTTTTTT